AAATGCCTCCTCATAAGGAAGAGTTAAACTTATTTGGAGAACATATACTGTTTCTCTTGCACACCAGGGATAATATTCCCAAATCTGAAATACAAATACATGTGAAACCTTCTTCTTTTAATTATCATGTCAGCCACTTGGCACTGCTATATAGTTATTTCAATGTCAACTCTTAAATCAGTTCCTGCTCATCCTCACCCCTGAATTTTGTTTTAAAGAACTGTCAACAGTGTCTCTTTATGTTTTTCTCTAGTGTTTTGGCCAGACAGCTTTAACCTCTCCTTACTGATTTTAACCTTTATAGTTAAAGGAAATAAAATACACGTCAGTTAATAGTACACAGTTTACCTGCCTTGTCTTCTGTTGGGATGAGATACAAAAACTAAGAGTCTGAAATGTGGATCATGAAAAAACTGCCAAAAAAGGGACTGGATGACTGAACAATTGTTACTAACAGGTTCTAGACAGGGAAAATGCTTTTGATGCATCTGATGGTCTTTTGTTACCCATGTTCTTTGTAACAATTTTCAGAAGGAAATTGATCAATGCCAATGCTGATCTCTAGTGGCAAAAAGAGAGAGAGAGAGAGAAGTGTTTGTGGCACCTTGGAGTTTTTTTAAAAAGTTGTGCCATTATAATGAGATGCGTCCAAGAATATATTTGCTTGTCTGTACAGGTGAGACCATTCTTTATGCTTCACTGTGGCATCAGAAACTTGGCACTGCCCTGCAACCAGAGAACATTGTGACACAGAAGGATAAATGGGTGCTGAGTTTGGGCTGCCTATCACATACTTCATGTTAAAGACATCTGCTATGAACCATCTTCATACAGTGTGGCTACAATCCCATTGTGCATTCAAATGAACACTAGGGCACTTTTGTCAGCCCCACACATTCATTTTGTATCTCTAATGACATTTTTGGGCATACTAGCTTTTTACTGATTATCACATTCATTTTTAATCTGTGTTCACTTCATTGATTTAACCATGTAATCTTCCGAGTCCATTTAAACTGCCAGCTAGTAATACTGTATTATCTGCATGTTGTTAAAGTTCTCTCTCCATTGACAATGTCGTTATCTGAATCAGAAATCAGCTCTGAACTTGAGTCATCGCTTTAAAGGTGTTTTCGGGATACAAGGTGCAAAGCAATGATGAGAGTATACATCCTCCTCTTCGTCTATGTCTTTTGTACCTAATCTTCAAGTTTCACTGCCGTTTTTCTGTAGCCTAGAATTGCCAGTTATAGGAAATCTCTTAAATCAAGACAAATATTTACCAATAATTTCATTAAACTTACTATGCTCGACTGTCAAAGCTTCTTTCATAGTTAATAAAGCAAGATGTACATATCCATATTCATGCTCCACTCTCTCTCCCCAAATACTTGTGCAGAAAACTGCTTCCCTGATCATCGTAAGTCCCTACAGGAAATGTGTAATGCAAACCTACATCCTGTGTTTGCGATGACTGCATTGTTTTTCTCATCCCTCTCGCACAGCTCAAAGCCAAAGTAACTTGAAGTGAACTGCAGAGTTTGGCACATTGTTTTGCCTTGAGTGCTGCATGCCTGTGTCAGCACCGATTGGAGTAGAGTCGCCCTCTGTTCAAAGATGGTCATCCCACACACTCTCCTCCAATTCCCCTACTCATTTCTCTCTCTCTGCTCATACTCTTGAAGTAGCCTCTTATACATGCACACATTGTTTGTGTGTGCAGATACAAACATGTCCCCCCCATTGCACAACAATCAAGCCTGAATAGAGGCTCTCAATTTCCATATAGGAGGTGATGAGAAATGCAAAGCACACAGGGATGGTTTCCTTCCCCCATCATGCAAGTAAGACTGGAACAAAAAAGCTGTCATCCAAACCTACAGGAATTCCTTCTGCCCCCATTCCCAAAGCCTAAATGTCATGAAGAAGGGTACCTCTGCAGGGTAGTCAGAGCCAGTTTGGCTTGCGCGTTCAACTTCCATCAATTGAGGAACAACACAAAGGTGGCCAACATCTATTTACTACTTTCTAGAAGCCTTCCTGCTGCCAGAAATATGTATATTTCTTGTAAGCAAGGTTGGTGATTTTAGCCAGAAACTGAACACTGAGCAGAGAGATGCTATTTCGGCACACACCTTTAGGCCTTGCACGTCATCTCATCCACCTCTGTACTTTTATACATGCATCACTCTTGATGCTAACATAATCAGAAAAACATTGTCTTACCACTGAAACTGGGGATAGGAGAAAAGATATTTTTAGCAAACAAATGTGCATACCTGTGGCAGGTGGAGCCACTGTTAAGAATGTGGGTGTAACAGGTTGCTTTTCATAGATTCAGGGGAAGTTAGCCTCGGAAGAGGACACCTACTTGAAAGATAAAGGGAGAGGGAAATCTCAACCAGCCAACTAGCTTAAATACACCAGGTCTTCTTGCACAGGACTATTATCTTCCACATGCTTTGCTCCTCCTGTGCAAAAGACCCATGAAATAAAACGTGACTTTTCAACACTCACTCATTAAGGCCACAAGTCTTCCCAGCAGAGCATGTCATACTCAAGATCAGAAGTGTACCAGGGTTATCTCAGCTTGTTTATTCTTTGCTTGCCAACCCACTTGGTTAAATATTTTTTATTTATTTATTTGCATACACCAACCACACTGTGGGCTTTCTGACCCAATTGGCAAGGAAGTACCAGCATAAAACACCAAATAAAATGACCTGTTGCCAAAACACAAAACTGATCATAAGTTGCAAAGGACTGCAATAATCTGTGTGACCTCTGCTAAAGCTCCCTTGGAGCGCTAAGCTCGGCGTTCTTCCAATTCCTTTTTCCACTGAGCTTGCAGTTAAGTGGACGAAATCTCTCCTCAGTGGGGCACCCACCACACTCACAAAGTTGGTACCGTCCAAAAAGCAGCTCCTAACCCATTCAAGCATGCTGCAGCCAATAGTGCTACATTGCCTTTTCCTTACCTTGGTGTTTTTTTTTAAAAAAATTATGAAATCAGATGACACTTTGGGGCAGGGACAGCTCTACTACCTGAGAATGTGATGCAGAGCCATCAACTGGCAAGTGCTGAGGGGTAGAAAATGGGAACATGCTGTGGGAAGACAGGAGTCTGTGTGCAACCCGACAATTTTCCCTGCACTCCCTAAACTAGGCTGCTGTGCTCGAAAGCAATGATAGATACTGTCCTGTTCTCTGTGCTGAAGTGAAGTTTCATTGCTAGACCACTCGGCTTCTACAAATGAAACAGGAGGGAATACCATTTATCTTTCACTTCAAAAAGAAAATTGTCTTGGACCAGTCCTGATTTGAACCTCTCCACTATTCAGGCCTCTTCAGTGAAGTCAATCAACTCACCTCTAAGCCTATGGACATTATTAAGCTTACAGTATAGATCCAGAGAGGAGGACATCAACATAAGAATTTAGAAAAGAAATGTAAGAAATTTTAACAGTATCTACCGCATCAAATTCCATTTCCTGGTCAATCCTAACTAGCTGAGATTACATCCATCCCAATATTTATGTGAAGTTAGGATTATTATTATTTTATGTGTGTTACTCTTTCCTATAGAGGAAAAGTGGTACACACACAGGTTCTTACTACGTATAAATCCTAACCTCCACAACAGCCATATAATAAAGACAAGAACAGGTCTCTTAAGGTTAGAGTGTCAAAATGTGTTACACAGAAACCTGTTATCGATGAAAGATACATGGTAAATACCAGGCAAGGCACAGCTTCACAGCTCACGGCTGTGTTGCATGCAGGGCATGTTCAAAATAGAAACACCTTAAATCCCCAGATAATGATGAAGCTCTCTGACTGGAAAATACATTTTGAGTTACACTACCTTGACATTCACATAATGTGAAAGAGCCCAAACAAGACAAGTGTCAAGAGAAAAACGCCAGGAACCTTCAGATTTTCAAAGCTCTCCCCGCACAAGCCATATATTTGATTGGGTGCAATAAAGGTCTAGCTGATTGTATAGCTCAGTGATTTAGGTATCTGGCTGGGGAACCAGAGGTTGGGAGTAGAGATAGGGGTATTTGTATACGAATATCCCCACACAGCTGGACTTAACGTGAGTCTAGCCCCTGGGGCCGGACCATCTACATGCGTCCGGTGCCAGCCTCGCTCATCCTTCCAATCGCTCCCAGAGCGCCGCTCTCTTCCCGCTTGGCTGGCCACTCAGCAGCTGTGAAGGGCGACTCATCCTCCCTCCCTCTGCCTGGAGTGGCTAACCGAGCGGGGCTCCAGGAGTGATTGGAAGGATGAGCAAGGCCACTGGTGGGAGTGATTGGAAGGATGAGCAAGGCCACCGGTGGGTGGATGGATGAATGGATGGATGGTCCAGCCCCCAGGGGTCGGACCCTCGTTAAGTCCAGTTGCACGGGGATATTTGTATACGAATAGGAATACCCCGAGCTCTAAGTTGAGAGTTTGAGTTTCCACTGTGTCTCCTAAGAGAAGAGCCTTAGGCTACATAGTCCTAGAGCATTCCCAGAAGAAGAGAATGGCAAACTACACCTGTGCTTTTTCAACCTAGAAAACCATGGAAAGGGTTGTTGTAAGTCAGAAGCAACTTGACAGCATACAATTATTATTTTATAATAACAATCTTGCCAATGGTGGATTTGGGGATTTCTCTTATGGACCAACATGGCTTATTACGCTTTAGAAGAATCATGAACTGTAATCTCTTCTCACAGAGATTGTGACTGAAGAAATGTTACCTCAGGCAGAGTTGCCTCAGGGTTAACGAGGAAGGAAAAGACCACGTAAACAGCGTCTTACAGACATACAGCCAAGCACAGAACAAGGTATTCTCTAGCGCTTCACAACATTACATGCAGAGTTGGCTGTGATTAATAGACAGGTCTAGGTCTCTTTCACAAGAGACGGATGAGGATGACCAGGGATCACTGAGTATGAACTGAGAAAAGGGACAATAAGCCAAAGATGAAACACAACAGAGACATTGATAATGAAATACACCTTTGGTTTATGTAGCTTTCCTTTTTTCAATTCTGGGGGAATAAGGATTTCCACTATCTACATAGTCCCTCCTTTCAAAAAAGCAACAACCTCACTATTGGATATCATCTTCCATATTAACACCTTATGAAATCTTCATGATTGCTTTATTTGCTTATTTACCAAATTTTGCCAATTGTATTTTCACAAAGGTTAGTGGATATAAAAGTCTGTCTTCATATCTTGGGAGGTAACAGGCTGAAAAGGTTTTGTGGTACATATTCAATTTCAGGGCCTAGAAAAAGCTTTCAAAATCTGCTCTCCTCTGCCATCTTGTGGTCAGCAGAACAACAGCAGGCTGTAAAACTAAGGCATTTTCAGTATCAGGAGAAAATTTTCAGGTAAGCAATAAAATCATTTCTGGATTACATCTGGGAGACTGGACTGTCAGATCTTCTAGTGGTGGTGGAGGAAGAAATGTCTCATTCTCCGGACTAGCGCCAGAAGGTCAGCTTGATGGCTCCCATAATCCAAAAACCACAGAGAAATAAAGTCTGGTGGAATTCACTTCTTAAGGTTTCCGTTTCTTCTTTTTCCCACCAGCAACTTTGTTCCTGACACCCAATGCTCCCTCTGCATCATCCTCTTCATTGGCCTCGTCTCGAGAACGTTTCTTCTTTTCCTCATGCTGCCGCAACTCCTGCAAAAATAAAAAGATTAAAAAGGGCAGAATTCTTGGAAGCTTCTGAATTGTCAGTCCTGGAGATAATCAAGATCTTAAGAGTGCAGGACACATAATAATAGGCTCAAGCCTCAACCAGATTTAGGCTGAATATCAGGAAAAAAATGTCCTAACTTTTAGAGCAGTACAATAATGGAACCGATTACCTTGAGTGACAGTACAATAATGGAACCGATTACCTTGAGCGAGCCAATGCTGGAGGCATTCAAGAGAAAATTGGCTACAAGTACAATAATGGAACCGATTACCTTGAGCGAGCCAATGCTGGAGGCATTCAAGAGAAAATTGGCTACACTCTCAGATCTGCTTTGATTTGGATTCCCTGTACTGAGCTGGACTCGATGGCCTTATAGGCCCCTTCCAACTCTATGATTCTATGGTTTAACAACCGCTGAAAGCACTACGCATTCTACCACCACGACATGTATCACGTGTGGATTCAGAAAAACGAGGGCTGCCTATGGTTTAACAACCGCTGAAAGCACTACACATTCTATTATCACCACAGGTATCACGTGTGGATTCAGAAAAAAGCTCTGAATGAGCGCTGATTTGGCATTTGTTTTCTCCAATGATCTTGTTCCTGGGAACAGTGATAGTAGGATTCTGAGATCATAGAGCTAGCATGACATCAAAACAGCCAAGTCTGGTTACAATACAACCACAAGCTGGTTTGAACAGAAAATTTTGGGTTTTTGCCTTCGTTCTGAAGGGGCAAACATTTTAGTCCCTGTTCACAGCTCTCGCTCAAAATCTATAAAGGATCCCTTGTTTTTCAGGGGCAAAAATATTTACAACTATTAACTTCCCATCTCAATCTCACTGCAGTTCTGGCTCAGCCCCATTTTAAATATGCTTCCACAACATTCAGTTCACTGCAGTCTGCTGGCCTTTTTACAATCAATTTTTAAGAAACACCCAGAAAACACATTCCGAGAGTTATATGATTTGTCTGATAACCAAAACTGCTCTTTCCAATTAGCATCTCTATACCAGCCTCAGGCTCTAGAAACCATCGTCTTTATTCTGAAATCAGCTATTTGAGTAGCACATTTGTTAATGAGGCATTTAACAAGACTCAGCAGTGACAGGACGAGCGGCCTTTGGAAACTGAGATTGCAAAGAAGCAAGAAGAAATTTCACACATCTTAAACCAGAGGTGATTCAATTCGGGGCTTTCCAAAATTCTGTCTGATTGCAACTCCCATCAGTGGTTTAGGTGTCTGGCTGAGGAACCCGAGGTTGGGAGCCTGACTCCCCCTCTCTGCCCCATGCCTCCTTGACAAGAGCTGGACTCAATGATCCGTAGGGTGCCTCCTTGATAAGAGCTGGACTCAATGATCCGTAGGCTCCCTTTGAGACTTGCAGTTCTAAGATTATATTAATGGCATCTCTCCCCACTGCCTATGGGGCAGATGGAAGTTGTAACCCAAGCTCACCAGTAGGGCCACAAATGGTCCATTTGCTTTACCAAGAGTGACCACAGCACACAATTTGATTACAAGGCTCCTCATGCAGTCTTAGTCTTAATAGCGCAAACCTAACCAATGTTCCAACTGATTTGTTTCACACTGGCCTGCACAAAGAGCTTGGAAATGCTACTTATATGGCGGGACTACTCCCAGAACCCCAGTCAGTATGGCCAGTAGCTTGTTTTGGCTTCTAGATGTGATGGCTCAGAGAAATAACATTTTCAGACTCCATATGCCTCCCCAAATTACACAAATCCACAGCAGAAATGCAAACCCAGCCTTAAAGGGTCAACCTACCATGCGAGCAAACCTCTGTGCTTCAGCCACACGCTCCGTCAGCATCATAACTTCTTCCTCTTCAGTGGGGAAGGCAGGCAGCTTCTTACCAATCAGGTGCTCAATACGCTGGAAGAGCTCCACGTCGTACCTGGGAGCAGGCAGAATTAGTCTGAGTACCTCTTGCACACTGTTCCTTTGAACCAGCAGCCCTAAATTCGAGCTAGCACCCAACTTCCAGCTTGTCCCACAAGGACTCCCACCCTCTGCTGCTCTCTCACATTGGAGAGTTGTGGCACCATGAAGATTGCACAGAGCGCTACTTACTGTGTGACAAAGGTGATTGACTTGCCAGAGCGCCCTGCCCGAGCAGTTCTCCCCACCCGATGAATGTAATCCTGAAAGGGATGCAGGTTAAGTTACAAGGACAAGACACAGCAAAATGTAACAAAACAACAACTACTCAGGCAAAGTATGCAGGGAATCCCAACATGCTCGTTTAATGTAGTGGTTCTTAACCTTGGTTACTCAGGTGTTTTTGAACTGCAACTCCCAGAAACCCCAGCCAGCACAGCTGGTGGTGAAGGCTTCTGGGAATTGCAGTCCAAAAACACCTGAGTAACCCAAGGTCAAGAACCACTGGTTTAATGTAACTCTTTGTGGACATGCATTTAGTATGTTTCTATACTGTCTTGTTTAGCCGAGGGAAGTGATAAAGACCAGTCTAACTATGTGATCGGAAGCCGCAGCCAGCATAGTCAATGGGGAGACAACAGAAACTCTAGTGCAGTAACACTTGGAGAGCCACTATCCCATTGTCTCAATTTAAATCATATGTCTTTTCAAAAATATGGCCAGAGAACGTGTGCAAACAGGGTGGATAAAAATGAATGATTTTTTAAAAATCAAACTGATTGAAATCACAATTTAATTTTTTTTTAATTTTAAAATGTTTTTTTTAATTTAAACCATGATTTAAATCAAATCCACCCTACGCAGAAATAGTTCTTTCAAAACACTATCTATGTAACAGCAAGTATATCTGTCCATTACCAGCCTAGAATATCTTAAGATACTCTTCATTTCATCTTCTAGCCATTAGATCTTGCCAGGGATCCACTCTTAAAGCTGCAAAATATCTGGTAGGTACAGACTGTCAAAGAGTGACTGGATAATCAAGCAACCTGTATAGAAACATTACCAGCGTGGAAATGTTTACAGAATTTATATAAACATATATGTAGAAGAACCAGTGTCATTTTCAAAAAGGCATACAGTGATGCCTCGCAAGACGAATGTCTCGCGCAACAAAAAACTCACAAGATGAAAGTATTTTGCGATTTTTTGGTGACTCGCAAGACAAATTTTTCTATATCTGTGCTTCGCAAGACGAATAGGAACACATTAATTAAATTTCAGTGCATTCCTATGGGAAACCGCGCTTCGCAAGACGAAATTTTCACAATACGAAACGACTCGCGGAATGAATTTTCGTCTTGCGAGGCATCACTGTAGTTCTAACTGTCATGAATGCAGAGATGTCTTGCGTACACACAACTGTGTCCTCAATTGCCTTCACCTGCTTTCTGGAGGCACTAGTGTTTTGGTGGTGGTAACTGTCTTCAACTCCTTGATCAAAGAAGGAGGCAGGGCAAATCCTGGGGAGTTCCGCAACGGGCATTCCACCAAGGGCAGCTCACATGGGCCCAGACGCACTCCAGTCCATGCTGTGAACTGAGAATCACATAACTGGGACCAGTGCAAGAACACCAGCAAGCTACAAACCTGTGCTATCCAAACACTCTTTCAGTTGAATCAGAATCATTTTTTTCAAAAAGAGGTCATTAGCAAGTGTGAGTCAGGAAAACCTTTAGTTTAGCAGCCTGTCTTGAAACTTACCTTGGAATGGGTTGGAATGTCAAAGTTAATCACAACATCAACATGGGGTATATCCAGGCCTCTGCTGGCAACATCAGTGGCTAGCAGAATGGATCGTGTTTTTGCTTTGAACTTGTTCAGTGACCCCAATCGTTTGTTCTGATGGGGAAGGAAAGAAAATATCAATACACTTCTGTAGCTTTTAGGCTCGAAACGTAGAATGAAACTACACTTTTGTGACTGACTTATTATTACGGGCAATGAAGCGAGAGGGGAGACGGCTGGAGCGCAAGTGGAGGAAATCCTGCTGGGAGTCCGATTGAATACCACTTAGAGCTTCTGGGAGTCCGATCGAACACAACTTAGAGCTTATTATTGGGCCTATTTCATGGCAATATAGGTGGCAAAACGGCAATATTTCTCCAGCCATATTGCTTCCTCAAAATGTTGTGTAGCAAAGCTGTTTCGGGTGGTCCGGGATCTTCTTCAACCGGGAAATCCGGTGGAGGTCCCAGACTGCTCATCAGCTCACTGTGATGAGTTTGCCATTCATTTTGAGGGGAAAATAGCTCAGATTCGCAGTGGGTTGGACTCTACTGTTACTGCAGAATCAGAGGATGTGTCCAGTGTGCTGTGCTTAAGTCAAATATTAATGGATGAGTTTCAATTGTTGAGACCTGAGGATGTGGACAGGGTGCTTGGATCTGTCCGTTCTACCACCACTCTGCTCAACCCTTGCCCATCTTGGCTAATTGGAAGATCTGCCAGGGGGGTTCACACCTGGGTGCAGGAGGCCGTGAACACCTCTTTGAGAGCGGCAGTAATTCAGCCACTCCTTAAAAAGCCTAACCTGGACACAAGGCTGGTGGTTAATTACCAACCAGTGGCGAACCTCCCTTATTTTGGCAAAGTGTTTGAGTGGGTTGTGGCCGGGCAGCTCCAGGCGCTGCTGGATGAAATGAATTTTCTGGATCCATTTCAATCAGATTTCAGGCCGGGTTTTGGTACGGAGACTGCCTTTGTTGCCCTGTACAATGACCTTTTCCAGGGGAGAGACAAGGGCGGGACAGTTGCTCTGCCCCATGGCATTTATGTCATGGGGTTCCTCAGGGCACGATCCTGTCCCCCATGCTCTTTAACATCTACATGAAACAGCTGGGAGAGGTCATCAGGAGGTTTGGGCTGAGAAGTCAGCAATATGCTGACAATGCTCAGCTCTACATCTCATTTTCCACCAATCCAGGTGAGGTGGTTTCTGTACTGAACTCATGTCTGGACCTGATAATGGACTGGATGAGGGTTAATAAATTGAAATTGAAAAGAAAATTTATTTTTATTTATTTAACTTATATGCTGCCCACACTACCCAAAGGTCTCTGGGCAGTTTATAAGCTGATAGAGGATATAAGGAACATTTAATATCAGTTTAATATCTGAGCTTAAGAAAAAAAAATCACTCATGAACTACAACTTCCAGAATCGCCACAGCATACCACTTGCTGGCTAGAGTGGGTTCTGGGAGCTCCAGTAAAAACATTCAAAAAGAGAAGAATTCTTCCAAGCTACAATTAAAATATGCTGATTGTTCCAGTGCAGTAGATACCAGTCATTTCCTTACATTCAGATTAACCCATACCTGACTCATCTGTCCGTGGAGGGGAATAGCAGTGAAACCCAGATTCCGAAGCAGGAGGGCCGTCCTTTGGGTATTATTGCAAGTGCTGCAGAATATCATGAATGAGTTGCCAGCAAGTTCATTCAGAATATATACTAGGTAACTATCCTAAACAGATGAAGAAAATACGTTTTAAAACCCAAAAAAATGAGGCGGAAAAAACACATTCAAACAGGGCCAGGAGATTCTAGCAGAATATGAAACAAGAAGGAGGAAACAACTTACCTTGAACTTGGAAGGGATAAAGATATAGTACTGCTGCAGTTTCTCAACTGTCTGATATTTGGATGAAACTGCACATTTCACAGGGTCCTTAAGAGCTGCACGCTGGAGTTTTTGAACCTGAGCAAAGATCAGATCAAGATTTTGAGGCATCCATCCTGCCACAATGCTACGTCAGGCCCCAGGTTTCTCCATCCCACCCTTTATAACTGAATGCAAAATGTCACCTTCCTCACATACCTTTTTAGTCATTGTAGCAGAAAACAGAAATGTTTTCCTGTCTCTGGGAATCACTTTCAGGATCTTATCTACCTGCGAAGAGTAAAAACAAGCAAAACAAAGAATGAAAGATAGTTGATAGCATGCGCACACAAAATTTGGTTCTGTGCACGTACATCCACACATGCGCTCCAGGCACCATTGTTGGACCACAGTCCAGCCTGATGAAAAGAACAGCGCAGGAACTACCCCTTTAAGTCAAACCACTCCACTACTCCATAAGCTGAGCTTGGAAAATCCCAGAATCTCCATCAGTATGACTACATGGGAACCGTAAACTAAAAAAGGAACTCGTCCAAGGTCTGTTCATAACAAAGAGTGTTTGTGGTAGAAAATACATCATATAACATTTGAGAAAGATTTCAGACAAGGCTTTTGCTGCCCACAGTATATCTGTAAATTAGTACATATAACTTTGCATGACAAAATCTTATCCTCTAGAATTTTTATTATTTGAATATACTCTCAGTGCAACTGGTATATGAGTGTATTCCTCTAACATTCAAAAGCTTGGCTTTGCCTTAAAACAAGACTATGTGAACCTTCAAATATTATTAGGTTTGCAATAGCTGTCGAGGGCACGGCCGCTGGGGAATGTTGGAAGGAACTCCAGCCCAACAACGTCTGGAAGACCACACATCTGCCCCATCTTCAAGGTTAAAGAACCATTCCTGATAACATCTGTTTCTTGCTAAGCAACAGGAGGGACACACCAGGGAACAAAGAGATTCCTAGCTATCCCAGATGATATATTCCCTATTCAGAAGTGAAGCGGAGCCAAGTTCCCAACACGTATGGGAGAAAATATTCTGGAATTACAATGGTCAAAAACACCAGTCTCTTGAAATTGTACAGGTCCCTCCCAGAGCGGGAGAGATGCGGTGGAGCTCACCTCAGTCTCAAAGTCCATGTTGAGAATCCGGTCAGCTTCATCCATAACCAGGTACTTCAGAGCTCTCAAATTGAAGCCTTTTGTGTTCTCCAGGTGGTCTATCAGGCGGCCAGGTGTAGCTACCCAGAGAAGGGGTGAAGAAGAAATAGTTAATAACTCAGATGACTTTGCACATAGCAAAGAATGTACGACTGACGTTCTGGACGAACGAGGACAGCAAGTGGCTACAGCACATACCCAGCTGCGAAGAAAAAGAAAACAAGAGCCCTATCACTGCTGTCTGATAAGACGGGCCTGGGACTAAAGAGAGTAATGGAGGGTTTGGAGACCAGGGAAGAGCAGGAAAAGTCATCTGGGAGATCAGGAAAGCCAGAAAGGAAGGTGAGCAGCAAGAGTTCAGAAGGATTGCATGGCTGGATGTCAGAATGGTTGTGTGTGCAGGAGTGAAAGGATAATAGTGTGAGGAGAGGAAATTTTCTAAAGGATCCTGAAAAGTGGTTGTACTGTTGCTTTGAAAAGGGGACGGGGTCACACATGGCCAGGCATTTAGACCCCCCCCCCATATGAATTTCACTGCTCATCTTTGACTGAATTAAGATTTATAGATGTGATAGCCCTCCTGCTTACAAGGAATTCAGGGAAGTAGCCCTTATGGATTCTTAAGGTCTAATTACAGTAAGCCAGAGCCTGGAAAGATTATTTTTTAAGATAGTACTTCAGTGCCCACGCTAGCTGGGTAATTTCAGAAGCTGTACTCCAAGAAAGTAATATTCTCTACCGTTTCGGTCCACTGAATCATCCAGCCTGCTGGTTTAGATTAGATTAGGCATCCTTCAGTCTTGAGAGACTATGGTAACATGCTCTATATGGAGGACTTCAAACAGTGTCTAGTGTGGCTGAGAAGGCCAATTCGAGAGTGACAATCCCTTCCACACTGAAGACAAACATAATCTGTCCCCTGTCCAGCTCCAATTTTGCTGCTTTTGGGACTGCCTCTTTGCTTTGGCCTGCTGGACAAGGGTCTCTTCAAACTGGGAGAGGTCGTGATGCAACGCCTGCCTCCAGGCTGAACGCTCAGATGTCAGGATTTCCCATCTGTTGAGGTCCATTCCTAAGGCCTTCAGATCCCGCTTGCAGATATCTTTGTATCGCAGCTGTGGTCTCCCTCTGGGGCGATTTCCCTACTAATTCTCCATACAGGAGATCTTTTGGAATCCGACCATCAGCCATTCTCATGATATGCCCAAGCCAATGCAGACGTCGCTGTTTCAGTGATGTATACATGCTAAAAATTCCAGCTCGTTCTAGGACTACTCTATTTGGAACTTTGTCCTGCCAGGTGATACCAAAAATGCATTGGAGACAATGCATATGGAAGATGTTCAGCTTCCTCTCCTGCCATGCACAAAGGGTCCAGAACTCACTGCAGTACAGGAGTGTGCTCAGGACACAGGCTCTATAGACCTGGATCTTCGTATATGCCGTCAGCTTCTTACTGAGCCATACTCTCTTTGTGAGTCTAGAGAACATGGTAGCTGCTTTGCCAATGCATTTATCCAGCTCAGCATCTAGGGCAAGAGTGTCAGAGATCGTTGAGCCAAGGTACACAAAGTCATGAACAACCTCCAATTCTTGCGTGGAGATGGTAATAGAAGGAGGTGAGTCCACGCCCTGGCCCATGACTTGTGTTTTCTTCAGGCTGATTGTTACTCCAAAGTCTTGGCAGGCCTTGCTTAAACGATTCATGAGTTGTTGGAGGTCTTCAGCAGAGTGGGCCACAATGTCTGCCTCATCGACGAAGAGAAAGTCTGGCATGCATTTCAGCTGGACTTTGGTCCTCGCTCTCAATCTAGAGAGATTAAAGATCTTTCTGTCTGATCTAGTCCTGAGATAGACACCTTCTGTTGCAGTTCCAAAGGCCTGCTTCAGCATGACAGCAAAAAAGATCCCCAAAAGGGTTGGTGCGAGGACACAGCCCTGTTTCACTCTGCTTCATATGTGAAAGGGATCTGATGTTGAGCCGTCAAAAACTACAGTGCCCTTCATTCCCTCATGAAAGGACCTGATGATGTTAAGGAGTCGAGGTGGACATCCAGTCTTGGGAAGTATTTTAAAAAGGCCATCCCTGCTAACCAGATCAAAGGCCTTTGTGAGATCTATGCTGGTTACTTACCAATTATTACATGTGGCTTCTTGGCCAGAGCCAGAGACTGGGCCATCATGTCAATTCCTCCAACAATCACAGCTTAGGAAAGGGAAGATAAGAGACAGTAAATCAAGCCGTTTAAAATTCAATCAGTTCCCCACCACACCACCCCAGCTTCCTATTCAGCCTCTGTACAGTTCCTCCCAACATCCTTTTTTTAACAAATTCTCTGTATGCTGATGGCTGTTAATTTTATCCCAAGGTCTCAACTGCACATATGTTTTCATATTACTGACAAGTATATTTCTGGGTTATCAAGATTCAAACTTGGCAACTTGGGGTGGGTAAAAAAAATCAATGATTTTTAAAAAAACAAATGGATTAAGATCACAATTAAAAACAACATTTAAATCCTAAAACAATCCAAATTTTAAATTTAAATCAAATTCGCCCTGTTGCAAGTAGAATACAAACAAGTCTCATGAAACTGCATCTACACCATCATCATCTTACTAAAAACATCAGTAAGCTTTCCATATATTTAAAGGCCTGCAGCAAGGCCACTTACTGGTCTGGACACCAATGGATGATCCAAGAGCCTCAAACTGCTCTGAGATCTGAAAGGCTAGCTCCCGGGTCGGTGTCAGCACCAAAGCAAAGAAGCGCTGAGGGGTCTCTAGCAGTGCCTGAAGAATGGGCAAAGCAAAAGCCCCTGTTTTCCCCGATCCTGTTTCTGCTAAGCCAATGATGTCCCGACCTACAAGAAAAAGATCATGTTACAACCAGAGTGGAAAGAAAACAACACAGGAGCACAGGGGGGGGGGGGAGCTAGCACAGTAGAGGTCCCCAAACTGGTGGAGAGGTGCACGCAATATGCAGCCTGTGTATTGCCTACATCTACTTTAGACAAAGACAGAGTGCAGTGAGGAATAGAAATCTTTGCAATAATAAAAGTTTAGGATCTTCTGAATGTGACTTCAGAAACAAGTTCTCCTATAATCAGGTTATAATCAAGTGATATTTGAGATTAATGACTGTTCAGCAGACTTCCACAACCTGCTGCCTTCCATGTATCCTGGACTACACAGCTCATCATTCCCAGCTAGCACAGCCAATAGTAAAGCCTTGTGAGAGTTAACATTTAAAACTTCTGTAGGGTACAAGACTGGGGGGGCAGATGGAAAGAGGAAGGCTGGCAAAGAACTCATCACACCTTAGGTTTCTTTCCTCCCCATGGAACCACTGCAGATACAGGCATGCTAGTTTTCTCCTTCCCCCTGTGGTCAAGTTAGGCTGCTGAGGAAAAACAGCAGTGAATATTTACACTTTGCTGTTTCCTGTATTTCCAAGACCTGCACCCAGGTCTGACTGCTCAACACCTAGTAATTCATTCAGATGTCTAGTTCTGGCTAAACTTCATTAATCAAAAGCACAGAAACCATCATGCCAGTTTCAGCTCCTGCTCAGATAACATTTGTAAACAAGGCATGGGACTTCTAAGTTTAGAATACACATCTGTAAACTGACTCATGACAGTTATATATTTAAAACATTAGTTTACTGCCCTTCTACCTACTGGGAGTCTCAAACCTTCAAGAGATTAAAGTTGTGAAATTAAGACTAAAAACATTCAAAAACATACTGAAACACTCTTTAAAAACAAGTCCAAACATTATTTAAAAACCACATGTTAAAAAAAACACACCACAAAAACCTCGCCCCAAGAATTCCTACAGAAAAAGCCCTCTCAGGGCAGTGGGACATGCAACATCATCTCAATCTCTGGGCAAGTATACAGGGAGAAAAAGGTCTTTCAACTATCTTGGCCCCAAAATATTTAAGGCTTCATAAATCAGCAACAATACCTTGAATTGATCTCAGAAGCAAACCGGGTATGAGTGCAATTGATTCAAGAGACACAATATATATTTTCTAAATTACACATGAGGCAGCCGTCTGGCGGCTATGTTTTGCACTAATAATTATTATTATTATGAGCCATCAAGTCAATTCTGACTTATGGTGACCCTTTCCAGAGTTTTCTAAGTACAGAATCTTCAGAATGGGCCACTACTCTCTTCTTCTGGAGGAGTTCTGGAGTTGCTCAGCTTGGCCAAGACTACACAGTCTGGGTGTTCTCCCAGGAGGCACAGTGGGGAACAGAATGCCCAACCTTTGGTTTTGCACTGAAACTCAGAGCTATCCCGCTAGGTACATTTTGCACTAGTTGTAGCTTATATACACTTCTTAGTGCCCCACGTAAGGCACACCGAGGTCAAAAGAAAGATAAGTGTTCTGTTATCATTCTGTAAATCAGTTGGACTCTTACTACCCTATCAGGCTCATAGGTGCACCTCATCTTTCTCTCTGAGCAAAACACAGCAGCTCAGTCCAAAGAGAGAGGAACTCTGTATGATTAAGGATGCATACTCAGAGATGAAAAGTCTGTAAAACAGAATGGGCAAAGTGCTAGCCTCTGGATGCCCTTCCCTGCACTTCTTGCATTCCCCAGCAGTAGCTACACTGGTCAGAGCAGGAAAGAGCTGCAGTCCAGCGCCATCTAGAGACCCAAACGTTGTCTACCCCTGGTGCAGAATAGGATATAGAGTATTACACATAAAATATTGTGGAATTGCTTCCTTTTCTGGAATTCCAACTCTGACAATTAGTCTCACCTTGAAGTGCAACTGGAAGAGCCTCCACTTGGATCTTAGTAGGTACCTTCCATCCCAACTGATCACAGGCTTCGCACAGCACATCTGTCACTCCCTGGTATTCCAAACAGAAAATGAATTCTTACCGAGCAGTCCCAGGCTTCAAAATCCAATAGTGTTACTAAGAATTACTAACATCTGTACTACAGTCTTCTCAGTTAGCTGCAAGCCTGGTTTCATAGTGAAACTGTAGTACCCTAAAACCATGGGATGTTTGTTTCAAGTGAAGTTAATACAGCCACCCAGTATCAATAAGCACTATAATTATAAAAATAAGGGAGTTTGCTTCAGAGGATGGTTTGTAAGACTTGAACCAGATATGCTTCTGTTCATAACTGCAATTCTATATTAAGTTATTTTATTCATTTAAAATATTCCACCACCACCCTTTCTCTTAAAAAGGGTCCAAGGTGCCTTAGACCATTTTTTAAAAAAAATTACAAGCTAAAAACAAGATATAATTCCAATATTAAAATTAATTAATCAAAGACACTAAAAGTCATACATAAAAACAGTACTAAAACACATTAAAAACAGAAGTACAACTGCTGCTTTATGTGCTCTTCCTGATTTTTGTGCATGAATAGTTACAGACAGATTTATGAAATGGATTTATTACTTTCATTGGTATTGTATCCCACTGTGGGACTGTTCTTATACTTTAAAAAAGACAATATAAATAAATAAATAAATAAATAAATAAATAAATAAATAAATAAACAAACAAACAAACAAACAAACAAACAAACAAACAAA